CAGTAATTTTTTTCTTTTCTTTCCTTTTTTTTTTGGCGGCTGGCCGGGATGGGGGTCCGAAACCTTGACTTTGGTGATTTTTCAAGTGGCATAATACTATGCAATCAGTTCACATACAAACGGCTCTTTTTAGTCAATTTCAAGCAAATCAGGCCACGATGAACAGAAGCCTTAAAGGAACTATACTGCTTGGCGCTTACCTTTAAACGGCTAGAAAAAACTACAAATGAATTAAGTTGGTGAAAGCCTAGAACAATGGCTTCCAAACGCTTCACAAAAGGCCTTATAAACGCGAAACTGATGTTACTTACTGAGCGGCAGATCTAAGTTTTTATCTCAGATATTTTATATCAGGGCAGGTCTTCCTAGAAAAAAAATTTACGAAAAATGTGCAGAGTACCACAATGCTGTTTTCTCACTCTTTTGTGTGTGTGTGCGCCTCTCAAGTATTCAATAAAAGGCAAACAACTGAAAAAAAGTCGTTTGCTCCTTACACTCCCAACACCTTCTAACAAAACCTTATTTTACAAAAGGAGGCCTAGGGAGTATCAGATTAGCGCCAGTCTGAGGGAAGGCATTTTTCCAGACCTCAGAGGCTATAGATAGGGCTTTATTCACCAGCTAGAGCTGAGTTCCAGAAAGCACTGGCAGCCGGGGTGGGCAGATCTAAGGTCTCAGCTCTCTAAGCTAGTTCTCAAGGTCCTTCCAGGCGGGCGGGGCACAGTCGGGTTTCTGGGGATGGACTAACCACCCCGGACCTCGCGCCGTAGACCCCACCCTCACTGCTGAAAGGAAAGGAATTGTTGGGTGGGTTGGCTTTCCGCCCCAATCCTGACCCTTAAGGGAGACCGCGGGGCCGTGGAACAAAGCTGCCTGGCACAGCAGACTGCAAACAAGCTCCGGCAAGAGCTCACTTTGAAGGAACAAGCAGGGGGCGCCGCAGGGTGCAGATTCGGGGGGATGAGGTTTGAGCGCTTGGGAGAGGCGTAGGGCAGCTGGCCCAAGTGGGCAGCAGGGAACCCCACGCCAACCGATAGCCACCTTTTTACTTTTGGCAGGGGAAGGAGGAGTATCTAAATTTCTTACGCCGCCAGAGTGGGCAGCCAGCGTGAAGGAGTGGGAGCCAAGGCTAGGACTGGGCTACTGTCGGTCCACCGGGCCCATAGCCGGCCCCCTAAGGCTCACGACCGGAAGGTGTCCGGGATCCCCGCCCTGCAGCCCCGCAGCTTTAGGGAGGAGCCGTCATCCAGGCGAAGGTGAAGGCCCTTACCGCTTGAAATCCCGCATGAGCCTCCTCCGGGCCGGGGTCGACATGCTCCCCAGCTGCCCCGCGGTCAGTCTGAGAGAAAAGAGTCCCGCGCAGCCCCCCCACCCCCCGGCGCGGCAGCCAAATCACTGTGGGTCACCGCCGCTGCCGAGACTGCACAAACAACCCTGCAATGACGTCTCCCTCCGCCGCCTCCAGATCCCTCCGCCCTCCGCCGATACCACAGAGCAAGCGGTGGGGGAGGAGGGGCCAGGACGCATGAGCGCTTGCCCCGGCAGCCTTGCGGCGGGTATCGTTTCCATTTTGGACTTCTGAACTAATAGACGAATTAGTGTGCTCTGTGCTCAGACTACAGATCGTGGATTAAGAGACCCCGAAGTCGAAACCGAAACACTAACCTGTCTCCCCCACGTCACTAGTTTAGGCTCGGCGGGACGGGGGAGAGAGGGACACATCCGGGGCCGAGATTTCAGGGAAAGGAGGTGAGATGACGTAAGATCACGTGACTGCCAGCGGCGTTGTCAACAATTCACCCCTGGGGGGAGGGGGCGAAGTATCTAGAACCCACGTGTCCCTTATGAAGCTATAAGAACAGGTCACTTCTGAATCTGAGTTTCAGCCAGGTCTACGAAGCGGGTAGTTAACTTTACGGGGTTGTAGGCAGGATACACCTTTATTAGTCGTTCCCCGTTTGTCCCAGGTGCTGGTATATTACCATTGTCCATAGCAGAAGCAACAGCTTCTTTTGCTTTCTAAGTCTTTAAAACGTAAGGAAAAATAATTTGGTCTTAACTCCCCTCTAGCTGGTTCGGTGGCTTATCAACTCTGGTACGTGGGGCAGGAGGGCAGAGTACATGGATCGCCATCTTCTAATAAATGCAGTATTGAATGCCGAGGCCAACATAAATTCTCCTGAAATGTTTCTTAGGGCCACCAAATAGCCTGTTTCTGCACTGCAGTGGGGTTTCCAGAGTTGGAAATTCTGGGCAGAGATAAAAAGAACAGTTATAGATTGTCCAAGACTTGTTTAAAGCCCCCAAGGAATTATGAATTTATTTTTCCTTTATGAATCTGCTTTCATTCGAAGATGTCCATGGATTTGCCTACGGTACAGTACCAAATAAATGTGGGGGTGTGACCTCGAGAGCATATCAATGATGGGTGGTTGGCTGTCAAAGAAACCTACAAATATGATTCACATCTGCGGGAGAGATCATGCAAACATGGGTGAGTTTATATATCTGCCTGAGGTAACTCATTTCAGGTTTTCTTCAGAAAGAAAAGAGCTGGTAGAGGTGTTGACCCTGTGGACCCTAAACATCTCTACTCTCTGAAATCCTTCCCTCTATTGCTTCCAATTCCTGTTTCTAGGACTTTGTTGATCACGAGGACTCTTGAGCACTTTAATATCAATTTGGGGAATTCTTCAGCTCAACAGGGAAAGGGAGGGTAAAATGAGAACCTTAGCATTGCCCCAAGCCTGTCCATGGTTCTATAGAACTAGAAAAGGTTAACTTTTCCCTCTTTCCTGGTACCTCTCTTTCTTCAAACCCTGAAATCTCTCTCTAGTTTTTGGTATCTGCCTTGGTGATCCAGTTAGCCAGGACTAACTCTTGATAGATCCTGCTATGCATTCACAATGTGATTCTCTATGTCATAAGCTGAATATTCTTACCTTATTTTTTTTTCCCTTCCTGCCATAGCAATCTTACAACTCCCCCTAGCTAAGGAGGAAGACAAATGCAGAGGCTTACATGCAGTGAAATGATAAAGAGAAACTATATATATATTTTAAAATCTGTTGTCATTTATCTAGTAATTAATAACTGTTTTAGAAACTGACAATGATTTTCCAAAATGAAATAAAAACTTTTGATAAATTCAGTGAATGTGATTCATGAAGTCTGAGAGCAATGTATTAGCAAGAATCACTGGCCTTCCTGGTCACCAGGCCTGCCATAACCTACTCGTAGGAAGGATAGTTTTAAGATTATGATTATATACTGTAGCGATTCTATAGCTCTTCTCTTGTGAGCTCAGAGGGCATGGACTCAGTGTGGTTCATTTTTTGTCCCTTGCAAATATTTAACCCACAACAAATGTTTAATAAAATGCTTATAGCAAGTCTGGGCCCACTATCAGATTCACTATGACATTCTTATTTATAGATAAAAAGTATCTTATAATATGGTTGAGTAACTTTTCAAAAGGAAAGACAAATCTGAATATTTTGGGTCATAAACAAAAAACATTACCACCTCTCCTTCCTCTCATGCTCCCCTCTCAATCTAAACCCAAGCAGGATAGCAGAAACACTTGGGAAGCTTTTAAAGTACCAATTTGTTATTATTTTTTTATTTTTATTTTTTAAAAGATGACCGGTAAGGGGATCTCAACCGGTGGCTTGGTGTTGTCAGCACCACGCTCAGCCAGTGAGCAAACCGGCCATCCCTATATAGGATCCGAACCCGTGGCCTGTGTTGTCAGCACCACGCTCAGCCAGTGAGCAAACCGGCCATCCCTATATAGGATCCGAACCCGTGGCCTGTGTTGTCAGCACCACGCTCAGCCAGTGAGCAAACCGGCCATCCCTATATAGGATCCGAACCCGTGGCCTGTGTTGTCAGCACCACGCTCAGCCAGTGAGCAAACCGGCCATCCCTATATAGGATCCGAACCCGTGGCCTGTGTTGTCAGCACCACGCTCAGCCAGTGAGCAAACCGGCCATCCCTATATAGGATCCGAACCCGTGGCCTTGGTGTTATCAGCACCGCACTCTCCCGAGTGAGCCAATGGCCGGCCCGAAAGTACCAATTTATAGGCCGGCCCATGGCTCACTCGGTAGAGTGTGGTGCTGACAACACCAAGCCACGGGTTGAGATCCCCTTACCGGTCATCTTTAAAAAATAATAATAATAATAAAGTACCAATTTATTTACCCTATCCCAGTCACTGGGAGTGAGGCCTTTTTAAAGGCTTTCCAGGTGTGATTCTAAAGTGCATGCTGACACGGGCCAGCAAAAGGTGCATACTGGGTTGGGACCCACTGGACTAGAATTTAAAGCATAGCGAGATTTGGCCTTTTACTCATCTTACATAAAAAAGAAAGCACCAATAAAGACGGCACTCCCTGGGCACTTGCTTTAGTGATACCCTTGTCATTCATTACAGGCTGTCACTCCAGCTGAACCCCCTGTCTACTTCTTAAGCTATTAGACACCAGCCTCTTTTTCCCCCTGTGCCCTTGGTACATCATTCCGCATGTGGTAGAACACCTTGAATTATTTGCTTTCCTAATGAGAGAGTTTTAGAGTCTTGACATGCACTAAGGGCGTTTTAAAAAAGGATTTCTAGGGAGTTGGAAAAATGTGAAAGGCATACAGCAGGTATTCAAGAAAAGCTCTTGATTTAAAAACCATCCGTTTTAAGGATGAATGTCGACCATTGAGGTCGAATTCAGGTATACGGGATATTAATGTCTGTAGATAACTTAGAAAAATGTAATCATAAGAATTCGTAGGAAGTCTCGTCTTACAAGTTGTCCCTTAATGACACCAGCTATCCTTTTAGGAGCCAGTACAAGTGGCGGGTGTTCTCCGATCCGAGGACATACGTGACGCAGTTTAGATACGCTCCGCCTCGGTTTCCATTCTCTAGTGGATTTGCAATCATTCACTCTGCAGCCAAAATGCGGATGCTCCCCCTCCCCCCTCAAAACCAACCTTGAGGAGGCTCAAACAGTGACAGCAGTCTGTACTAACCTCCCCTATTCCCAAGCACGATTCCACTCAGAGGATACCCGTCGTCTTTTCCGCTTCCTTTCATTTTCCTTTCCGGGTCGGGGCCCTGCCGATGTTCCGGTCTTGCGCACTAGGGCTCGAGCGCAGCCCACACCCAACTGTTGTCATAGTAGTGAGCAGCCCGGAACCAGCTGGGCTAGCGGGCGAAGTAGGGTTGGTGTCCGGCTGCTGGGCTGGAACTGTGCGGAGCCGGGCTAGCAGAACTACAGAATGGGCTGAGGTGGCGGCGGTTGCCCGGACGAAGTCGACAGCAGGGCGAGGGGCGCGACGCCGGTCCGCGATCCTAAGACGTTCGGTTTGAGTAGCGGGCGGGACCGAGGCT